AATACATATTCCATGTTAGATAAATGTAATCATTTCATTAATAATGATATATTTCTGTCCCATTGTCACACTGGGCTCTAGAACATACACTAACACTCCCTTTCAACATCAGGAGTAAAAGAATTAAATGAATGCGGACAGACACATCAATACAAACACAGAATAGGTGTTATAAATAGCTTGATGGGTTATATTATCTGTGGAAACACGTATGTTTGCTGTGGCATTCTTCTGAGGAGTCCAGGATGCACTATGGTCTTATAAACAAACTAAGATGAATGTACAATAATGTATGCAGCATTATTTCTGTTTTACTGTACATACCATCAAGCCCACAGTGTTTGTTAATCAGACCTTTACTGCAGAGACTCCTTCTCCAACAGTTTCCACCACTCCAGCTACGTCTGTGCCCGGTGTGTATGGCAGGGTGGGCTTACGGGCGTATGTCCCGGCCCGGATGTACGTTTCCACAGGGTTCACTCCACAGGCATGGACACGGATCAACACCTACAGCAGAAAGACATTGTGGATGGAGACACAGTTAAAAAGCATCATGTAATAAAGTAAAGCTGCAGTAGGTAACGTTTAGAAATATAGCTTTTAGTCATATACACTTTCACCATACACTTGTTTTCAGTCAGGCCCGGTGGATTCTTGCAAATATCATTAGGAGCACTAGGAGGAGCCAGAGGAACCTGACTGTATCACACATTATCTGTCTCATACTCATACTGTCAGGATATAGCGAAAGTTTCAGCAAAAAATATTTTTAGAAACGTAACCTACTGCAGCTTTAAAGACACATACATACACATGCAAAAGTTTTATGGAGATTACCAACGGCCACAGGCTCAGCATAACAGACGATTACAGTACTTTCTATGAGTTTCCACTGTTTAATTAAAATAGCTGTATTTTTTTTATAAATACTTATAAAGGATCATATAATGCATTTTTTGCTTTCCTAATATTCCTAAAGTACACTATGTTTACAAATATACATTACTGACTAAAACTATAAAGTTTATTGATAAACAACAACAGATCTGACTGCAGCCTGTTGAATGAGCGTTACTCACAGCCACCAGGTCTGCAGGAAACATGCTTCATTGAGCTGTACAGTGTTCGGATTGTGTGTTTGCATAAAGACAATGCTGAATGTGCAATCAGCTCAAACACAGCTCTGCATGTGTAACGACCAGCAGCTGGACTGCAATGTCCACTCTTACGCAATAAGGTAGTCTCTGTGGCTGCAGGGTGTCTCACCTGTCTGCGTCCCGGCTGAGGGACAGTCACATCGGAGCACAGTCTGAGCACTGCCGGAGCTCCGAACTCACTCACTCTGATGGCTCTCATCAGCCTGCTGCCCGACATATCTTCACACACACACACACTCGTTCAGGAACTTTGACGGACTGTCCTTCCGAGCACTCAGTACTGCTTCTGCACGTTACAGAGCGGTTACAGGCGCACTAGCGCCCCCTTCTGGAGCGGATGGTTATCAATAAGAGGGATAAATAATATACTTAATACTGATCAAGGTGTTTCACAAGAAAAGTCCGTTTTAGGTGTTTTCCAGTGATTTACACTTCCTCAAAGAGACTTTGACGTATTGTTATTTAAAAAAGTAAAAACCTGACATTTAGCCCACAGAATTATATGAGCTCCTAAATACTGAATCCTACTCCTCCTTGGATGTCTTGTTGGCAGATTAAAAAATGTTTTTATTGCAAAAAGTCGAATTTGCACATTTAAATCTTTGACTCTCCTCCTTCTACCTCATTAAAACTTCCAGAATCTCTGAATATATAAATGTT